ACAAAGAATGCTCTTCGAGTAGCCAAGAAGTGGCGTCGACCGATCGTGGTCAGATAAAGCTATCGGAGAATCATGGCAAGGCTAAGTCCGTGTCAAAGAAGAAGGTGAGTAGCAAGCCTCTTAAATGCTACTTCTGTGATGGTCCTTACATGATAAGAGGATGTCCCGAGAAGAATCGCCTTGCTACCATTGTCGGAGGAGAAGATAAGTCAAAAGGGGAAGTAGCCAAAGATGGTGTGGCTACGGGAGTCAAAGCAGTCAAGCCATAAGCGAGGCTCGACGCGAATACGAGTGGGGCAAGAAAACTAAGGGTAAACAAGCGAGATCCACTGAAGTGTTTCTTATGTCAAGGAGCACATAGGGCCAAGAGTTACCCAAATGCATAAAAGCTCGGTGCCAATGCAAGTGGCGAAGCTGGGAAACCAAGATTAAAGAAGCAAGAGCCATTAAAGTGTTTCCAGTGTGGAGAAAAACACAAGGTGCGAGATTGCACCAACGAAGTAAAGCTCGGTGCGAAAGCCAAGGGCCAAGCAGGAAAGCCGAGGGTAAATAAACAAGAGCAACTGGAGTGTTTCAGGTGCAAAGGTCCACACATGGTACGGGAATGCCCAAACCGAATCAAGCAGTCCAATTGAAGGGACAAGGCCGAGAGTAGTGTGCTTGCCAGGCTTGGTTTAATTTTGTTTACTTCTGCCAAGGTTAGTCAAAACCAGAAGCAGGATGGGTTGCCCAAACCCAATGTTACCGAGGAGGTAGTCGCTGTTGTGGAAGCTGGAGTTGGCAAATGGCCAAAAGAGCCCGAGATGTTTCAAGAGCAGTTGAGCTCAGTGCATACCAAGTGTGAGGCATGGTCTAAGTTGATGAGTCTTAGACATGATGGGGCATTGAAGGAGTATTCGAGTCAGTTCAAGGAACTCATGCTCAAAGTCCCAAAGTTGACTGAAGAAGATTCATTCTTCACCTTCACAGAGGGATTGAAGCCATGAACAAAGAAGGAGATGGAGAGAAGGGGAATCAAGGAATTGTCTAAAGCCTTGATAGCCACCGAGTTCATCATAGAACTTGGAGTCAAGAAGTCGTCCAAGCCGAAGTTGAAAGCCGTGGGTAGTGGTAAAAGAATCCGAGATGAAGGTCAGTCTAATGATGAGGAGCAAGGCTCTTCGAGTGGTGCTTGTTCGAATGATGAGCCTTTGAGCATTGATCGTTCAAGTGGTGAACACAAGTATAGAGAAGACGTGTGTGATGTTGGCACAAGTCAAGCTATTTGGTGCTTTAAGCCGAGGGCAAGAAATGAGCAAATGGAGGGTCACCGAAGTAATGGGCCACAGGAGTTGTAAGCTTGCTTGGATAAAGCCGAGTGGTCCGAGAAGATGGACAAGCCCAGGATTGAGTTACCCAAGGACATGGGTGAAGACATGATCAATGAGGCTGTGAGACTTGGCTCAATGATTTTGAGTTTTGCCAAGGCAAGTGGAGACCGAAAACAGAATGGGATAATGTATGTGAACATCAACTTTGCGGGACAATCAGGAGTTGCCTTAGTAGACACATGGGCAACTGATTTATTCATGTCAAAGAAGGCTGCCGACAATCTTGGTTTGAAAGTCGAGCTATCGAAAGGGGAGATCAAGACTGTCAACTCTAAAGAAGTTCTAATTACTAGAGTGGACAGGAAGATAGAGTTGCAGATTGGTGACTGGAGCGATAATGAGGACTTTAGGGTGATCCCATTGGATGACTTCGACTTTGTCATCGAGTTGGGATTCCTTGACCATGTGAAGGCTTTTGTCTTTCTGTTTGTCGATGTCATGTGCATCTTAGATTCCCGACGGTAATGTATTGTGCCTTTGTTTTGAGACAATAAGGGAGCGACTAAGACCGTGACGGCCATTAAGTTTGTTGATGAAGTTCTAAGGGAGAGGAACATTGTTTTGGGGGCTACCATTGAAGATACAACCGAGAAGTGGTTGATGAATTCTAAGCCTTCCAGAGACATGATGGGTAAGAACTTTCCACCCATGTAAAAGGGTGTGAGTCGCACCAGACTTCAAGGGAGGAAGTGCCGATGCAAGTAGAAACACCAGACTTTCGGATATAAGTGTTGGTGTGTGGAGTGCCAGACTTCGTGGAGTAAGAAGAGCTGACACATAGAGTAAATGTGTTGAGGGAGATCGAGGGACATCTCAAACACGTTCTAAGTGTTGAGTTTGATTCACCATTATTGATGAGTATAGGTCGATGACCTAACTATCTTTGTTGCGGAATGATCAAAGATTGGAATGGATATTTGAGACTTTCAGAGTTCATAGGGACAAGCGAGTGTTGCCGACGAATCTGAGTTTTCGTGTTGTATGTTGTCGGAGTATCCAATTCTTTGCCGCTGGATCAGAAGTATCCTTGTTTCGGTGAATGTAAACGGGTATGATGGATTTCCTACATTCAAGATGAATGCCACGGTGTGTTAGATTGTGATAAGACATGACGGTGTTAACCAAGGCGAACAAGCCAAGGTGTTTTGTTAAAGCGTCCAAGGTGATCAAGACCAAGTGTTCTCACCTAGCGACGAGGACGTCGCTAGATCAAATGGGGGAGAGTGTCACGGACTAAACTTTTGGGTCCATGGGCATTGGTATAAACGTTCACAGAAGGGGTTCTAATGCGCAGACTTGGCCTTGTTGGGCATGATGAGTTGACCCAGTTCTTGGAGAATGCTTAGTGTTCGTAAAGGATCGAGTCCGTGAAGGATCAATTCTGAGGCGTCCGAGAGAAGCGACGAGGGTGTTACATGTTCGATGGGGGTAATTTTTTCAAGGCTCGTGGATTCGGACCGAGACATGTGTGTGTAGATTTCTGTAGGAGAATACAGAGTGTTGGGTTTGCCCAGAACCATCAGACCTATCCCGTTCCTTGGAAGATTCTAGAAAGGATAATATTATCCAATAATTAAGGATTTAATTATGATTAATGTTTTGTTTGAATTCAAATGCCTTAGAGATAGAGTTCTGGATAAGGTAGGATTCAATATAAGCCATCGATGTACTTTGATCTACATCGTTGGATCTTGAGGGCCTCAACTATAAATAGAGAGCTCCTCCCCTCATTTGTAATCAGAGATTCAATTCATTCATTCTCTTCAGAGTAATAAAACTCATGCATTTACTCTCACTCTCTATGAATTAATATCTTTCTAGCTTGCTAGCTTTTTAGCTTTCTAGCCTTGTTGGCTTGTTCTCTTTTGTTCTTAAGCCTTTGTAGCTTGTGTTTCCTATCGTAAGGGTTGAAATAGCCTCGAGAGTGTTCCTTTCCGAGTTCTTTCAAAGTTCCAAAGTGATTCAAGTCTTGGTGACTTAGAAAGTTCCCACGTTGCTCATGCTTCGGAGATCCGCTTCAATCCAGGTGGCTAAGATTAGCCCTATATAAGTTTTACTTCCGCATTGTTGTTTAACCCTTGAGGATTTGTTCATCGCTTAGTGAGCCAGAGACTCACAAGAACGTGGGTAAAGCTGACTTAGGTGCCATTTCGACCTGGAAATCGTCTAAGTACTACGCGAAACGACTAGCAGAAGTCTAGCCCCGTGACATTTACATATAATGAGACTTGAATATGAAATCTCAAACTTCGGTATACTAAATCTTGCATTAGTAACAACACAATGACCAATATCTACTTGAAATTCAATGGACACGGTTGATCATTCTTCGCCCTAATTGAAAGTTTCTAGTGTTTACCAAGTCAACAACATTATGGAAAAAATGTGGGTTTTAGAGAAGACTTTGACTTTGGAAATTTCTTACATATTCTCTCTTGTTCTATTACTTTATAACTTGTTATCAGTATTCAAATATTTCTATATTTTAGGTTCAATAGACACATTTGAAGGATCAATATGAATTTTTTTCCCACTTACACTGCCATGTTGTTATTGTTTATGATGATGATGATAATCTGTTGCAGCATTGGGTTCAACCATTGTTGCATAGACGAGGAGAGGACGAATCTTCAGGCAATCACATAATCGATGGGCTACGGACACGATTCGTATTAGTATTCGCATCGAGACAGATTCTTTGATGATTGTTGCAGGTGGGAAGATGTTCATTGTAGTCCCACAAACTCTCAAGCCATCGGGATTTACTTTTACTTCATCAGGAAAGATGCTGAAGATGAATGGTTTCTGGATATGAGTTTGTTTTCTAAGCCCAAGCAGTTGCGGGAATTGCATCTTGTGGGGAACAACATCGGTGGATTCGATAATCCCGAAGGTAAGGTCTTCACTCGTGCTTTGAAATTGATGGTTGTTTTTCGATAATTTTCTTAAAACTATCTCTAATTGTCATGCAACAGTATGTAAACTTACTAACTTACGATGGCTAGATCTTTCGATTAACTTGATTGAAGACGATGTTCCACGCTGTTGGGGCAATATGCCGTCGCTTCGAACTCTAGACTTGTCCAAGAATGGATTCCGGGGAAACCTCACCTACACCCTTGCTAATGTGTCAAAGAAAATCGAGATCATCAAAGTTTCGCATAACAATTTAACTTGTTTTGCAAGAAACGTAGGAATCACATTATCATTCTGAGCCATTTGGATATGTCCTACAATTACCATTTGGAAGTCGAAACTGAAGATCTGAATTGGTACCCTTCTTTCCAAATAAAACACTTGTTTTTGGCTGCCTGCAATTTGAATCATCAGAGTGATCATGTGATTCCTAGGTTTCTTGCAAAACAAGTTAACGTGCAAACCCTAGATTTATCCAATAACTCACTGGTCGGAAATTTTCCTACTTGGATGCTTCATAATGTTTCTTCGGTATTAAGCCTGAGAGGCAATTGTTTTGTTGGTCAGTTGCCTAAAGAACTCCGAAGCAACTCGACGATTACTATGCTAGATATCTCTAATAATCTTTTTGATGGTTATTTGCCATAAAAAATTGATCAAATACTCCCTCGGCTGTTTGGATTCAATGTCTCGTCTAATTGATTTTCGGGTAATATTCCGCTTTCCTTTGGTGAATTGAAACATTTAGAAAGGTTGGACTTGTCTAACAATGGTTTCACCGGGGTTGTCCCTGTTAATCTAACTCGAACTTCACCGCTATGGTACTTGAATCTGTCGAACAATAGCTTGCACGGCAAGCCACTTCCCGGGAATTGCAGTATGCCGAAATTGGCATGGTTGCTGCTGCAACATAATCACTTTGTGGGGAAATTTCCACCTTGCTTGACCAATAGTTTGTCTTTGAGACTGATCGATGTGCGAGACAATCATCTCTCGGGAACCATCTCGAATCTGCCTGCTCTGATGCAATTAGGAGCGTTTCTCGTGAGACGAAATCAATTCTCGGGACAACTTCCCCGGCAATTATGTGAAATGCAAAGAATACAGTTGCTGGATTTCTCAAACAACGGATTCACAGGGAACATTCCTTGCTGCCTACGTAACAACACAGTCTGGAAAAACAAGTTCCAAGCAAATTCATGGGTTCCTATAGATTTCACCACCAAAGGGCAATCACTTTCGTACCAGGGAATCCCTCTGACACTAATGACTGGAATCGATTTCTCAGAGAATACATTGGTCGGGACAATTCCACACGAGATCAGTGAACTATCGGAGCTGCATTCTCTGAACCTGTCGAATAATCACTTAACAGGTCACATTCCAACATCTTTCGAAGCACTCGAGAACCTGGAGAGCTTGGATCTTTCCCACAACAATCTAACAGGACCAATCCCTCCAGGAATCACACAGATTACTACCATCGAAAAGTTTTCTGTAGCCTTCAACAATCTCTCAGGATTGATCCCATTTACTGCACAATTTTTGACATTCTCCGAAACGTACTTCTTAGGCAACCCGGAACTGTGCGGTGAAGTAGTAGAAAGAGAATGTACTGGAAATGATGATGGTGATGGAGGAAAAGAAAATTCCATTGGAAAGGAAGAGGAGAGCTTGATTGACAGGCCCTTGTTTTTCTATGCATTTGTGTTTATATCGTATGCTGTGGGATTCTGGGGTTTTATTGCACCACTTTACATGAGTGTAACCTGGAGGAGAAAATACTTTGCCGCCATTGATGGATGGATTCAATATCTTTTCTGCAAGTAACGTTTTTCCTTTTCCTTCAAATATTGCGAGTGTCAAAATACAAATATATTTATGACAATAAATTTTCATATTTATATTTATATAAATAGTTAAAAAGAAAAGGTAAAATTATTATGCTGTGGAGAATGTCATCTTAGAAGTGGTTTTGTCCCAATCGATGTGATCTTGTAGTGGATGTTGTTCTTTAAGATTAACACAAAAACTTCAATCTTCAAACACTCAAATGAATAAGATAGAACTCAATTGGAGGATCAATGCATCCACCTCAGCTGGTGGTTGACAGAAAGAAACTTACATTATTTTCTTGCGCAGTTGCTGCAAGTATGTTAGTCACTGAATGCTGCTTGAGTGCAACTGTGTGGCCTCCAAAAAGTTTCATGTGGGACTGCTCGTGCATAAAAATGAGCATACATATTAAATATTTGAAGTAGCTAGCTTCGGAAGAGCGCCGATGGACATACAATGTAATTATCAAGGATAAAGATCCCTGTGCCTCTGAATAACAACTAATGAACAATATTGCAAAAGGCAAAAAATTATACCTCTTTCTCCGGTAAACATCTATTTAACTCTTTGTCCATGGTATTTTGTGCAAGTGTGTGCTCCCACTCTTTAGCAGCTTGTTCATCAATTTCTTTTGAATCACCTGCTAAAATGGCCATCATATTCAAGCCCAGAAACACCTTGAGAAAAATATGAATACAGCACGGATATAAAGAATCGCTCGAGCTAATATTACTAATAAAGAACACGGATATAATGAACCAGTGATCACAGTGGCATTACTAATAAAGAAGAATGCCATGCATCTTTCATAGATCAGGTATGCATGGGTTCAACCATTTGATAATCTGGTGATTCTATACTTTGCAAGTTCCTTTTGAGCCCATCACTTTTGACAAAACAGGGGCTGCCATTCTGAAATAATAAGAGTTTTGCGTTCATTTACATTTGATACATTAATATAAATGATAAAAACTTATATGTAAATCAGCCAAGAAATTTCAAAGTTCAGTGAACACAATAAGGGTTTCCCTAACATACTTGAGCATTCGTTTTACATTGCTCGACAATGGAGCATCTGCTACGGCACTCATGAAGTTCTCGGCAAAGATTCACCTAATGGTCAAGGATACATGGCAGCTTTAATGGTTTTTTTATAAAAAAAAATTAATTGTCACGTAATACTTCCGTTAAGGGGTTAACGAGAGTTAACGCTTGAGAGACCAAAACCGAGTGGACCGATAATGTAGAGGACCAAAACTAATCTTTTTTTGAACCGGTGACCAAAATCGATCAGGCAAAAAACATAAGAGACCATTCATATAATTTAGCCTTACTTGATCTAACATTTACTAGATTATTTATAATTTTATCCAAAATTATAAATTCGCAGACGTCTTTCAAGATCCGTTGTAGTCTAGTTGGTTAGGATACTCGGCTCTCACCCGAGAGACCCGGGTTCAAGTCCCGGCAACGGAATCTTTTTTTCTAACTTTTTCACCTTCGGAGTTTTTGTGGCTTGGTTGTTGATTAATACAATTTGTCATACCCTGCAATTTCTCTATACTGCTGTGGGCTATGGCTGCAAAGACTAGAGCCATGATCTCTCATGCGAATCAAATTTTTAAGCACAAACCAAACGAACACAGCAGGCTTACGGGGTTAAATATTCTCCGACTTTGCTTGGTACGAATCCGAGCTCCCGTCATTACCCTACTTCATCCGGTTGTTGATTATCTCACTTAATAGGTTGGTGTTTGCAGACAGATAAAGCAGCAGAGTTCCATTCCCCAAGACACATAGCTTCATCTGCAAACAATGTTTGTATTGGTTGCAGATAAAAGGGACCGATCCCTCTCATAAATTTGGACTCGCACATCTACTTATTACAAAAGCTTGTCTCTATTTTATCTTAAAGGGATCGAATTGTTTACGAAAGAGACTGATCTATTTCTTTTATAAAAATGGTAGTCTCATTGTTTTATTCAAAAGGAGTGATTTCTTTCATATATGGACCTATCCATTTATCAAAACTTATGATACAGATTATTTAAGTACATTTCATTGGGTTTAGGACGATGGTTTATTAGTAGTTTTCGGATATGTAAATTTCACTTCTTCGTCGAGTATCAATATAGTACAATTATAATAGTCATTTTTCTACCTTGTCAAGACACGTCATCCTAATAATCAACACCCCTTCCGTCTCACCAAAATAAAATTCTTTAAATAATTCGTACATAAACGTTATATACCTATACCATCTCAGTTGTACATGGAACTAAGCTAACGACCAAGGGCATGATATTAACAATGCCAAGGTATCCAAATTATCGTTTCTCATCATCAAACTACCATATAGGTTATTGTGAATAATTAATAGAGCCTTTAACTCGTTTACACTTAACTCGAGATATTAGTTTTCACATATTAAATGTATGTGTTATCATGCTTGATTTTTTACAATATCAAAAATTAAAGAACAACGTGCATGAACCCTAAACTTAATTTAAGGTTTAAGAAGGGGTTTCACAAATATTTGAGAAATATGAGTAAAATTAAATTCTCTCTTTTAAATGCTTGAACATTCATCAATGGCATTAAGGATAAATGGAGAAGATGATGGTACATGTTTCCTTTATTTCTTTAATTTGATTAATGCCAACTGATTGAAAGTTATTGAACATATATCATCTTATATTCACCGCAGTCTAATAAAAGAGTTATATATCATACATGCTATGTATATTATGTCTTTGATGCCTACCATTTTTGCATTATTTAATGGTAATGATGATGCACATACTAATTAGAAGCCTGGCAAGCTCCATGTGAAACCTCAGCCTTAAATTAGGGTTGAAGTGACCTTAAACCCCTTCTGTGACCCTTCCCATTTTAGGTAAGCCGCTCATGTTCCCATCTTCATTTTTTCTTCACTCTCTACTCTTTCGTTTTAAAAACTCTTCCATCTTTTTAAAAAAAATAAAAGAAATTTGAAATTAGGATACTAATTTAGATTGTGAGTTCAAATTATGTCTGTTTAATTCGTTCTTTTGAAGATTCATATATATTATTCGTTATGAATATAGAATGAATTAGACGAGTCTATATTACTTATATAGATATAAATTGTTGATTTGAATATTTAGATCTGACTCCAAATTAAAGAAAAGAGAATATGTTTGCTTTAAAGATTCGAATCGTTCTATTTTTAATCGATGTCGGAACACGATATTAAGAATAGTACAATGGTGAATATGGATTGTAAGTGCAGTTTATGGTGATGTAAGTGGGATATGATGATGGTGACAAGCAATGGAATAATGGTGACCATGGCCAGTGGTTTCGTATTTCAGGAAACCTATTATGCATTTGGCTTCTTACCATAAGTAGACTTCGGACAAATTTCTGATTAAACAACAAAACCTCTTATCGTTTCACTAAGAATTCCAGAAAGATCATTGCAAACCCTAGACCTTGCTTTATATTTACCATTATAGTAATTTAAAATTTTATAATTTTAAAAGGATTAGATCACAAATTATATTTGGGGGAGTAAAATATAATTTTACCGTTATATTAATCTCAAATTTTATGCTAAATTTAAAGGGTTCTGAAATTAACAACATATATATAATTGTATATTGTTGTCATCAAATCAATATAATATATTTTTTATTTTGGAAAAAATATATAATCTGTTTCAAATTTCGATTATGTTAGAAATACAATCGTATTATGGTAAAATAAATTGTTAGCATTAACTGAAAATGAAATGTTATTGTTCTTATCGAGAAAAAAAATAATGAAATTTTGATTATCAAGAACCACATAAACATAGATTAGACCAATCGACGTCGATAACCCATACGAATGTGACATGTTCACTAATATTTAAAAAAATAAGAGAAAAAGTAATAGTAGTATATAAATCACCATCAATCTTTTACTTTCCTTTTATATATATATATACACACCATATATATGGTTGTTCTTTTGACTTTTTAGGGTTTTGTCTTAATTAATTTGGATCGATCCATGTCGTATATATGATTTTAGTGAGTGAGTCTCCTAACATGGATTTTCTACATATACAAGATCTCAAACTCAAGACTTATTTAAACGATATCAAACTACTTACCATTTATACTAACCCGTTGGTGGATTTCTATATAACCTTAACATTTCTAACATGTTGAACCAAAAGATATATTTGAATGCATCAGACAATTAATTTAACATAATAATTGAATTTGAATTACCTATGAAAGTTCAAAGTAAAAGGTAAAATAAAATTACTTTTCACTTTACCTATTATTGATTGATCCTCAAGTTAATATGAAACCAGACCACGAAACTATACATGGTAAGTTCTAGTCATGGGATTTGTTAAAGCTTGTCGTTTCCTATTAGGGTTCTTTAGGGTTTTGGAATGGGCCCCAATTTCCATTTTAGGGTTGTCTTAGTTTTCAACTCATTGCAAAAGAAATTTCTAATTTTGGTAAATTTCAGGTTGCTTGACAGACATGAGTTCAGAAGAGTGGTTAAGACTTACACCATTTTGTCTTTGTTTCTCCCTTTTGACATTAAAAGATCACTTCTTGCTTTAAATTACTGACAATGCCACTGCCCCTATTCCATTAAATCATTGGTAAGTTAATTCAACGATTAGGGTTTTAGTAGGGTATTAATTTAGGATGAATTCAGGAGTATTTGAAACGGTCATATCTTTCGGAAATTTCAAATTTTCACGTAATTTTAATAAATTTTGGTAAGTTAATTCAACAATTAGGGTTTTAGTAGGGTATTAATTTAGGATGAATTCAGGAGTATTTGAAACGGCCATATCTTTCGGAAATTTTAAATTTTAACGTAATTTTGATAAATTTTGGTAAGTTAATTCAACAATTAGGGTTTTAGTAGGGTATTAATTTAGGATGAATTCAGGTGTATTTGAAACGGCCATATCTTTCAAAAATTTCAAATTTTCACGTAATTTTAATAAATTTTCACATTTATAACTAGAATTATAGGGTTTCATATACTTTTATATTTATACTTTTACTAATTCGGATTTATTCGCGTCACACACTTGATTTTGGGTGGATGAGTCTTCCAATATAGATTTTCTATGCTCAAACAATATCAAGCTGCTTACCACTTAAACCAACCCTGTTGTTATCTACCTATATTTTTTTGTTTAAGTTTTCTTTACTCATCAATTTATCGTAAGAATATTTAAATCTCAAATCCTTAAATAATAGTTAAGTGTGCTTAAGTTCACTTATACCTACATGATGAGTCTACCATAGAGGGCCTAATCTATTACTATCAAACATAGGTGCAATTTTGTAGTTTTATCGGAAGAGAATGGGGTTTTTAGGGAGAAAAAAATAACTTATTGAGAATAAATTCCTTGTTCATACACCAAAGGAGCTGCAGATTTCACAAGTAAGCAACAACAGCATAGGTGATTTTGCACACAGAGAAAGTCATCATCTTCCTCATCTTTAATTTCCCTTCCTGGTTTTCATACAAACTATGCATCAAGCTTTTGTTATTTCAAGTTTTCAGAAGCTTTTACTTCCCATTATTACTTGCTATTGTGGTTTGTAGAAGTTTATAGATAGAGTATATATTGGTTTTGATCTTTAGATATAGTTATGGGACGTGGGAAGATAGAGATCAAGAGGATAGAGAACCAGACGACTCGGCAAGTGACGTTCTCGAAGCGACGAGCCGGACTTTTGAAGAAGACACACGAGCTTTCTGTACTTTGTGAAGCTCAGATCGGCCTCATCATCTTCTCCACCACTGGCAAGATGTGCCAGTATTGCAGTGAGCCGTATAGGTCTTTCATTTTCGTTTTCCTTTCCATGGATCCCCATATTTGGTTATAAACAAAGGCTTTGTTCTATTATATGCCATGTTTATGGAAGAAAGAGAGAAAAAACTAGTTAGGGTTTCTGCAGATCTACTTTTGCATGATGAATTTGAGTGATTGCAGCTTTTTAAGTCTTTGTTTTATGGATGAATATATATCTTGTTTCACAGAATGGAACAAATCATAGAAAGGTATTTGAAGGTCACAGGAAGTAGCATTCCTGAGCATGACAATCGGGTAAGAATCCCACATTTCCTTCTTCAATCTGGAGAATATTTTGTATGATATTTATGTATATATATGTATGTATATGTGTAGGAACATTTGTACAATGAATTGGCAGTGTTGAGGAGAGAGACCCGTCGGCTTCAACTGAGCATGCGACGCTACACCGGTGAGGACATGAGCACGATACCGTTTGAAGAGCTCGAACAACTAGAAAAAGAACTCGAACGCTCCATCATAAAGGTCCGAATGCGAAAGGTATACGAGTTCATCATGATCTTCTTCTTATGTTATTCAACTGAGGATTTCTTCTTTTGTTTTACAATTTGGGATATTGCAGAATGAGCTTTTGCAGCAACAACTGGACAACTTGCGTAGAAAGGTATCGGAATTCAATTAACACTTTATTAAGTTTCCCTCACATGATTCACATAGGAAAAAATCGAAACCAGATGCTAATTTATGTTTTGGACGTCAAAAAAATTTGTAGGAGAGACTACTAGAAGAAGAAAACAGCAATATGTACCGATGGGTGAGTAAAGAATTCTACTGAACTTGTGTTGATTAACTTAGTTGATCATCTAGTCTTAGCTGCTGAAACATTTACTATTTGGATTGGTTTCTCGGTTATCTCGTAGATTCAAGAACACAGAGTGTCGATCGAGTATCAGCACGGGGGAATGGAAGCTAAGCCGATGGAGTATCAGCAAGTTCTTGGGCAATTCCCTTTCTATGATGAACCCAGCAGTGTGCTTCAGCTCTCAACCATTAGCCCCCAACAGTTCCATTCCTACCCGCTCCAGCTTGCTCAGCCCAACCTTCAAGATTTGAATATCTAGCATTGCCATCGCAGCTATGGTATATTATAATCCTGCAGATTTTCTGAGAATGATGAAAAGAACATGGTACATTACATAGACAGATCGAGTCGACTTTGTCAGGATCGAAATATTGTGTTTAAATATCTATTAGAAACATATTTCTGATATTGTTTTTGTTTAGGGAGTGTGCTACATATATATGCTTTCTTGCTTCTGATGTTACTTTAAAGTTTCCTTCGGAGATGGTATCTGATAGGTTTGGATTTTGAAAAGCTTGCATTCGAATTACATTTCATTTCATAAAGAAATATATTCTCCAATATCCTTATGAACATCAAGTTTCATTTGGTTTACAATGAATTCCAGCATTTTATAGATTTGTTCAGAGTTCGGACGTGTCTCGTCGTGAGCTATAAAACGATAAAGAGCTCCGGATATTTCCACACTACTAAATCCAGCAGACTTTTTCACTCCCCTTCTTTCCATAGCTTCTCTCATTGTTCTTGCTTCCTTCCATCGCTTGATAGCCGCGTAAACATTCGATAAGCCGATATATCGACCGTCATGATCCGGGTCTAACTCGATTAGTTTCCTTCCTACTATTTCTGCGAGATCAGATTTTCCGTGTATTAAGCACCCATTTAGCAGAGCACCCAGCAATGATGCGGTCGGCTCCATGGGCATTTCAAGTAGAAATCGGTATGCCTCTGCTACCTTCCCCGCACGAGCCAGAACATCCACCATGCAAGCGTAATGTTCGCTCTTAGGAGTCATACCTTGTTTTCCAATACACTCGAAGAAGTACCAAGCTTCCTTCACTAATCCACCATGAGCACAAGCACTCAACAAGCACAAGTACGTGATCTCGTCAGGGACAATCCCAACTATTTGCATTTCGGTAAACAATTTGAGAGATTCATTAACCAATCCATGAATTGCAAGCCCTCCAATCATAGCATTCCACAACAACACATCGGTCTTACGATTAGATACCGCACGAAAGACGTCTAAAGCTTCCTTTTCCGCTCCACATTTAGCATACATATCAACGAGAGAAGTACGCAAAACCAAAGTCATCGGCAACCCATTGTCCATCACATAACGATGCATTAACCTCCCTCGATCAAGCGCGCCGAGATGTGCACAAGCACACAACACACTCACCATCGTTACCTCATTAGCTTTGGGACCCAAAACTCGCATTTCCTCGAACACTGCCAACGCCTCCTTATAATCCTCACTCTTAACATACCCATTAATCAAACAGCTCCAAGAAACAACGTCCCTTTGAGACATTGATTCGAACACTTGACGCGCCGATGCCATATCCCCACACTTAGAATAACCATCCAACATAGCGTTCCACGAAACAATATTCTTCATAGGCATTTCATCAAACACCCGGCGTGCGTAAACAACGTCAAGGCAAGAACCATACAAATGAATCAAAGAATTGTTAATGAACTTATCTAATCCGAACCCATTTTTCAACGCGTGGCCGTGAATTGCTCCGCCGAGGTCCGGCTTCAAAAGGCGAGCAGATGCCTTGGCCAGAAAAGGATATGTTAGATGATCAGGCAAGACACCGGCTCTGAGCATTTTAATGAAAACTGAAAATGATTTGTTGGGATTTTTACTGCCGGAGTAGCCTCGAATAATCGTGTTCCAATCGAAGACTCCGGGGGTCGGCAGCCTGGAGAAAAGGCGGTAGGCATAATCTATGTCGCCGGCGTCGGAGAGGGCGGCGACCGAGAGGAGTTTAGACGACAAAGGTTCATCACGGAGGAGGCCAAAAGTTATAACAAGTGCATGGATTTGCTTTAATTCAGAGAATGATTTGCATTTAGAGAGTACATTGAAAAGAGCTTGGAACATTCCACATTTACAGGAACTCAAAAGCCTCTCGCCGCTGTCTTCAACTTTATAGTGTTTCTATATAATTTGGACGAAAACGAAGACAACTTCAAACTTATTGTACATGGTTGTTTATTATGTCCAAAACAAACATCAATGTTCAATAACTGTGTCGTAACCGGTTTTCGTTCGGGCACGAAATATTTATTTGGCGGGAAAAGTGATGTGAATAAATGGTTTTTAAAATAATTTGAGAGTCGCCATCGGCCTTTTGGTTCAGGTAGGTCGAATACCTAAAAATCATCCTTTAAAAGAGTTTTTAAGAAAACATCGATTAAAAGATAAACTGTTCTGCTTTTTAACCAAAAATTCGTTCTTTTTAATAATAAAAAGGGATTCGTGGTCGGTTACGTTCAGGGAAGTATTAGCACCCCTACAACGCCTAAAATTGGTACTTTTTAATTATAAATTGTCTCTATTATTAGAAATTTAAAAATTCAAAATATATTTAATTTATAATCCTATTATTTCAAAATTATAATTATGAAAAAAATATATTAATTTATATATATTTATAAACGCCCTTACCTCATTATGTAATGAAATTTCAAACCAGCATAATATAATGGGGAACCTCCCGCGGGGCCAAACGATATCTTTTATACCACAGCGGTTAATATAACAAGGGGAGCCATAACCGATACGGCCTTTTCCAACGTCATAATATCCCCCTGCCGCCTAATTGGACCTACGGGCAACTGGTCACTGACATCCTTGGGAATGATCTAACTCTGCAAAATGTTTCTTCTGTTTTGCAGAACATCACTCAGCTTGGTCTTGCTAGTGATGAATTCCACCAACTACTTCATTTTTAAAATGAGGCGGGAGGAGGCGATTTTGGTTAGCGCCGTTGGTTAACAACCAAGTTCCCTAACAGCAGCTTAGCTTAGTAGCTTAACTCTTTCTACTGGCGTGGCGCTGCTGGATGCTTTTTTTTTTATCAATAGAACAGGAAGAGGAGTCAGCCAAAAAGAAAGACCACCAAAAGTAACGACCACCAAGATACGTATAGTGATTCGATCTTTTGATCACCCATTTATGGAAAACCTTTTTTGGGGGCTTCCGCCTTACACACGGAAGATTGGATTGCCTGAATCACGAGTCTTATATACTGTGTTACGATCACCTCATATTGATAAAAAGTCTAGAGAACAATTTGAAATGGAAATCAAGAAACAATTTCTGGTCATAAAAACAGAAAGGCATGAATTGCGCAAGAAGTTCTTTCGGTTAAAACGTCGTGCGACTTGGGGGACAACGCGAAAAACCAACCAACGGGGTGTCTTTTGGTAGAGCTTTTGCCTACCTTCCCTCGAGCAATCGGTCCAATTCGGATGTGTTAAGCAAACACAACATTGAATATTTATGGGATGGGATGAACGCGAACAATATCATATATAAAGAGAAACGCGTAGTTCGTTCAAGGAAAGCATTCTATGCTACGATCTTCTTATACGATAGTGTTTCCCTCCACGCCACGCGCACGGGTGTTAGACGAACGAACGAACACATTCCGATCGCTAACGCTCGAGCTACTTCTGGTATAATACCCTCGTACTAAGGTCACTTTCAGTCCCGATCCTTTTCAGTCCAACTTCTATCCCTCATCCTTATGGACCCCCGGCTTTTGAATAACCTCCGCGCCTGGGTCAAACCCTGGATGACTTTCTTTCATGTCGACCTCTATTTAATTATTCAATGAAGAGGCGAAATGTAATAAGGAAAACCCCTGGCTTTATCAAACCAGTGCAACTTCGTTCCCCAGTGAAATTTGATTTATATCATCCGCCCGCGAAAGATGGCTTTTAGGGCCGATTATTCGAAGCAGGAAGATAACATCTTCGATTCGATGTCTGGTGAACGAATAGGATTTTCTGAGTTTTCTGGCTCAACGGTGGCGGATGCGGATTTGGATTTCGTATCGTTTCCAGGTGCTGTAGCTGACTTGGGGTGTGGTTCCTTCTCCTCCGCTTGCATAGAAAGAAAAAGGTCTCCTCCGCCCCTCGAATAGGATTTAGCAGCTTCGTTTCCAAGTCGTGTTCACTCCCTGATCCTTCGTTACCTGAACATCCTCTTGCTCTAACAGAGCACGAGCTGCATGAAGTACTACCTTTCCCGATGCAACCTTTCCTGGTGCTAAATTTCCCTAGAATGAAGTCCCTCTACTCGCAGCTGAGCCAACCAACGTACGAGTGGTTTAAGTCGTCCCTCTCGCTTGAGCGTTCACTTCCCTTCGTTAATTTAACAATGGATTTCAGAGGGAAAATAAGATGCAAACCCTGCCTGGGATAATTGATTAGTTGGGATTAGCTTACAAGCCCACTCTTGAACGGTTTTAGGGGCTTGAGCGTACTACGGGTGAAAGAGCTCATCTTCGATCCCTGGTTTTATCAAACCAGAAAAACTACCAGGGTTTCTAGCTTTCTCTTTCAGACCTTCACTTCATTCGCTTTCGGCGGAAGCTTTCGTCGTATGCTTTCGATACATCCTTTGGAACCCTAGAAGTTAACTTAACTCCTCGTCCTTACTCCTAACACGGAGCCCGGTTTTGCTTTATAACACTCCTACTCCCTGAAACCAGATCGTCGTTTAGAGGCCTGGAACTCATAACTATAGCTCGAGTAATGCTCAAGCCCCCTGGATCAGGAGGGAAAGCAAACTAAACTCCAAAACTTAGAATGCTGTTGCCTCTCCCTACGATGGTGATCCCCGCTTTCCTCTCGCTTTCGCTCGAGATATTTCATAACCTCTCCCCCTTTCGCTTTTACGACGAAACCCATTGATTCGTTTTCCGAAAACTCGGTTCTTTTTCTTTCGCGTTCCTCTACGGCTTGGTTCTCAAAACCTCTCGCTAGCGCTCGAGATATTCCATAACCTCTCCCGATGCCGATGGTCTCCCTTTCACTTTCACTTTCCTCCATCTACTCGGACTTAACACCAAACCCAATCTCCGACGATCCCTTTCGCTGCTTGAGCTTTCCTCCTGTTATTTACTCGGGCTGAGCAGCACTTACTGAATCATTACTCGGACTGAGCAGCACTTACTGAATCAGAGCAGTTGCCTTTAGAAAGAAAGTGATCCATGCCTTTCTTATTATACGATATTTCTAGTTTGCTAAGACGAACGCTCCCTCTCACATTAATCTCACTCACGGAATCTGAGCTTTCCTCCAGTTAACTTAACACATCCTTTACTCGAACTAACTGACCACTCACTGAATCTGAGCGATTGCCGACTAAATCCATTGATTCGCTTTACCGTGTTTGGGCATTTTCTCGGGGAGGGAAAGGAAAGCAGCGAGCGGGGGAACACAAAGTTTGATCGATCCAATCTATCCACTAAGAAGCAGAACGGAAAACCTTGATTTTAGCCCTTTGATTTCACCTGTTTCAGCCTGCGAAATAAATTGCTTATTATAGTTCGACTTCCTTTCTTTTCAAATCTTCCAGTAGTTAGCTTGGATCGAGAAAGCTCCGCCCAATAGTGCTTAGCCGTGTGTGGACCCTTTCGTGAAGCCGGTAACCGTTAGCCTAAGATCAAGTCTAAACTACGATAAGGGATGAGAAGTTTTGTGAAGTTATAACTCTTTCAAAAAGTTACTTCTTGTTTGTGTTCAGTGTTCTTTCTTTATTAAATGAAGAGAAAGAAAGAGAATAGTAATAGTAGGAATTCTCTTATCCCATTCGGAAGGATCTCATTCAATAGATCTAACCCATTTCTAGGATAGATAGAGGAGTTCGTCCCCCGCTTATCCGCTTCATTCTTTTCATCTTCCCTTTTCTTATAATACACTAGATAGCGCCTTTGTTCGATAGTTCGATAGTCGTAACTATTGGCCTCTGAGTCCATCTTAGGTTAGGTCTAACTCAATAAATTGTGTAAGGTAAGTGAAGGCGGATCGAGCTTATCATTTTTATTATCTTGTCTCCACTCCTTTTGGCCGGCAGGAGAGAATGTCATCAATAAGCCAGCAAATATCTGAGATCATGTCCTCAACTCATGAATGGACTCTTTCTGTCCGCCCCCTCCGCTTTGAAGTGTGCTCTCGGCGAATATGATATCTCAGGCTGAAGCCGATCAGACGATTTTGCCTTATCGTCTTGGACCTTCGAGAATTTGATATTGTCAAAGATGGAACTCGCTTTTTTACACCAATATAGACTCTTCTTTCCGGGGCTCCCTCTGGGTCCGGGCTTGCCTCGCCTCTTTGAAAAATGGGGCCTTTCAGACAACGCCCTTACCTCATAGTTGTAAAAAAAATGTGGTATAAAGAGTTTTTAAGAAAACATCGATTAAAAGATAAATTGTTCTGCTTTTTAACCAAAAATTCGTTCTTTTTAATAATAAAAAGGGATTCGTGGTCGGTTACGTTTAGGGAAGTATTAGCACCCCTACAATGCCCAAAATTGGTACTTTTTAATTATAAATTGTCTCTATTATTATAAATTTAAAAATTCAAAATATATTTAATTTATAATCCTATTATTTCAAAATTATAATTATGAAAAAAATATATTAATTTATATATATTTATAAAAATATTTATTTATTTAGAAATATCAGAAAAGGACTTCTAGGTGCCTTAAGACAGTTCTTTTCTTTGATATAATAAATAAATAAATATTGATAAAATATTTATCTAAAAATAATAAAAAATTAGATTAATATATATAATTGATAAAAGTAAAATATTTATTTAAAAATATTAGAAAATGGACATCGAGTTGCTTTAAGACTGCCCTTTCTTAATATTTAAATATTAAAAATAATAATTTTTTCTAATAAAACAAAACAATATGTGTTTTTTGGTTTTTATAAGTAAGATATTTATTTATTTTTAACATATCAGAATAGGACATCTAGTTGCTTTAAGACTGTCCTTTTCTTTGATATTAAAAATAAATATTATTATTTAAACCAATATATATATATATATATATATATATATATATAATAAATATAATAATGAAAGTAA